TTGGACTAGATGTCCAAAGTCCCTTCTGACCCAAACGATTCTGTGGTTCTATGATTAGCTGATTTTTGTTCTTGGAAGAGCTAGGACTGAAGTACACTATGTCTTCTCCAATGCCTTTTCAAAGAGGAAACCTCCAGTTCCCATCTGTTGATTCCCCAGCAAACCTCACGGGCCAGGCTGGTCCAAGGCAGAAACAGATGAAACCTAAGTGCTATTTACCTATACTAGGGCTCCAGTTCTGAGTCATGCAATGACATCCCACTGCCGATTCCTTTTGCAAACAAGCCAGCAAGAAAGGAAGTAGAAAAGAGAACTGACCTATCTCATACCACAGATAACAAGCATCCCCACATGGGGATGAGGCCACATCTGCAGAGATGCTACATCATGGCAGGGAAGAGCCATGAAACAGGCACTCAAGTCTTTGTGTGCTTACAGCCTAGACTTGTGTTAATACAGTTACTGGGGTGAGCAAGCAGGAACAAGAGAAAGTGGTATATTGAATCTCGAGTGTCATATCAAGGGGAGAAATGGATTACTGATTACAGGTTTGAAGACATCCTAACGGTTTTATATACCAGAAGAGGATGAATTCTGTTGACCCTACAGCTGCCTCCTCCAGACAATGCAATTTTTAGCTGCTTCTGCAATGCAGTGCCACATGTGCTCTTGTTAATTACTGCTAATTGAGGCAGGAAGTGATCTAAACACATTTGCCTATGGACTCCCTTATTATTGGAGAACAGAGTTTTCAAAGGACCTAAATGTTGTGGGAGCACACATACCATTGAGACCAAATAAAAACTGATGCTTTTAAGTCACTGAGCTGCTTCTGAAAATCCTGTTTGTGAATCTTTAGGATACAGCTGCAACAGGGGATGATGACTAGACCTGAAAGCCCTGCCATGTCCACCGCAACTGTTCACATGTGGAGATGCAGATAGGATCGTGTACATTGCAGATTTGTGAAGAATACACAGACAGCAGGCAGCCTGGCAGCTCTTCCTCACTGCTTATTACAAGTTGTTACTTTATGGGATCAAGACGACCATGCAGAACAGAGGCAAGGATGCTAGAAATCTTTGCTAACAAATGTATGCACATGCAAACATTGCAAAAAGTAAGCTGTAAGTGGTTGGGCATCTGTCATTGGTGATTAATAGATCCATTCATAGATGAACCTGAACTGAACATGGCCAGGTGCTGTCCTCTTAGGTGGGAAAGATGGGATCTTGATGGAAGGGTCCTCTTTCTCTGTCTTAACAGCAGTTACTATCATTTGTAGTGTTAGCACTACGCTACCTATGCATTAATCCTCATTGGCTTTTATAGGTGAGCCTTATCAGAGTATGTATTTTTGGCAAGACAATGAAGCCACCCTAGTTTTGTATTAAAGCTTTTCATGTCAATGGCAGTTTCATTTAAATATGCTAATAATATCCCCTAAAAATCCTATATATCAGCAAAAAGATTCCCCAGAGCTGCAGCTATTAGCAAGAATAAGACTTTAAGGGTTTGCATTGCCCATGAATGAATCATGAAGAAGTTGATGTGCATGAGCCTATGCTAAGACATAGACTTGCATTAGCCTAAGTAGGGCCATGGTAAAGCTTTGGCAGTGTTGCTGGTACCTATGGCAGTTCTTTTAGCTCTGGTGCCAATGCCTGTGAGTTTTGGCAGCTCACACTAGACAGGGAAAGAAAGTCAACCCAGAAACAAAATTAAAATATCTCAAAATTGCCAGCTGTCCCAGTCCTTCTGTTTGGGCAGCTCTATGAACTTCTCATAAGTAAACTGCGCGTTTGCCTCCCACATTTGTCAACAACTCCTGAAGCCCCCAACAAGAACTGTCAGGGAAAAGTAACAGGATATAAGCGCCTAAATACCCTTGCCAATCCAGGCCTAAATAACTAACAAAAGCAATAAATAAAGTGCATCTAAACAAGTGTCTTAATATCGGATTTATGTAAGTATTAGGTGTTGAAGCATATGCTGTCTATGATACCTAGGAAACCAGTCTTATTTCGCTAAGTCTCCAAAACAACAGAACATTATCAATCTCAGTGCCAACGTATTTTCTTGTAATGCAACTGAGTGGCTGATAGAGGCAGGGTAAAACTGTTCCCACAGTGAATCATTTCCATACCAGTATTTCCACATGGACACCAGTTAAGGCAGCCTGTCCAAGTTATGGACCGTGAGATCCAGTGCCTGTCCCTCCTCCCCAGCGCAGTGGAACAAGATACATACCAATAAGCTTGGAGAGGATGCACCTTGTTACTTTTACAGTTAAGTAACAAATTTATGTGAAAATAGTGAATTTGTTTCAGGGTTAACATGCAGTGCTTAATCTACATACCATCTTTTAGACAGTAAGGTTACTAAACTCAGACCTGCTTTGGGTATTTGAGGAACTATTGTTATAGGCAATGTTTTCAGCTTAACTCTGTGAGTTCTCTCTATTGTGGGTTTTTACTAGCCAGTTGCTGAAGTTAAGAAAACAGACTAAACCCCATGTACTTCCACAAGCAGTGGGATTAACAAGCCTGGCTTCCAACGGACGTGTGTGCTGCGGTCCAGATGCCCCAGCACAATAAACATCCCTCACGGAGTCAATAGCTCTTGCTCCCTGTGACTTCTCACTGTATTGTATTTCCCTATCTGCCTGGCTGCATGAGAGATGAGACAGACCATGGTTAGGTGCATCAGTTGTGCAACCAGAGATTCTTGGAACGGAAGACAATGATTAATGCCTACAAGGTACCATTAATTTAGATTTCTCTCTTATCCCAAGTGATTGGGATTGCTGATTTTTATGAGACTGAAAGGAACTTCCTATCTTTAAGATTACTATTAATCTGTCAAATTTAGCTGAAATCAGTCAAGCGGGTTTTGAAATTATTGGGGAGAAGTTGAATAAATGACAGTGAAAGTCTTCTTTCTGTGAAGAGGGTAATGGCAAGCTCACCAAGTCGGTACAGTGTCTGTCAGGGGCTGTAACCAAGTTATTTCAGTGAATACTCAAAGCTATTATGTGGAGAACTAAGAATTAACAGAGGAAGTATGGGCAGATGGTGTACAGTGATGGCATTTCTGTCACTATCTCTGTTCATCACATTCAGTTAAAATATTAAATGGGAGCAAAATCAAAAGTGTGGAAGCTAGAATAAAGATCCTACATGTCTCTCCCTGGAGGCTGTGGGATAAAGTCACAAAGATCTTAAAGTCTTTAAAGAAGGCAAAAATTTAAGAACCTCATCCTTGTGGGGAACTTCATCCTTGTGGGGAACCTCATCCTTGTGGGCTCCAAAGAGGAGAAAGGAGACTACTGACCTTGCTCCACTTTTGTTTACATCTGAAGTCATTTGTAATTAGCATTTAGAGGTTAGCAAGCTGATTGTGGAAAAAGGCTCTGTCTCTTTGCAGGGTCCTTGCCATCTCCTAATGCCTGCAGCCTATCAAAGATAAGATGAATACAGCAGGATGGATTTTTCTACTTGCTGTCCTCATTTGGAAGATTGCCAAAGAATACAGTTTCTGTACTCTGATGTGCTTTAATTTGCTTTGTGCTAGCAGTTTGTTTGAAGAGAACTGAGGTTATATATCAAGTACAGAAGTATAGATTGTCCTTTCTATCAGAGGGATTGGATTTCCAGTCACTCATAAGTTTCATTGTCTTGGAGGTGTTTTGAACAACTGCTGTATAGACAAAAAGGCAGTCTTCAGTGTGGCTTTTGGCAGGCTTACCGTGCAAGTATGGGGTCAGCACAAGATCAAGATCCAGATCCACTTTACTGGACTAAACACAGGTATCACCAGTGTAGACACCCACTTTTGAGGTGGCCTCCTTCAATAATCAAAACAGAGTTCATCAGTATTATCACTGCATTGTGAGTATGATTCATTTCATCTGAAAATGATGTCTGAATACATGAAGTCCGTATCTAAGATGCCTAAAATGATCGCTCACACCCTAAAAGTGACTTTGTCTCTCAAATGGCTAGAAATCGAGCATAGATGACTATCCCAGATGGAGATATCCCTTGCTGCCTATTGGCAGTGAAGAGTTTAAAAGACATCCTAGCCAGCTGCGCTCAATTAAATGTAATGTCAGATATTTGCCTGAGCTGCCATCAGTCCTCCTTTTATTCTTCAGTCAATTATAGTAGCAGTTATTTGAGCTTTCCAAGTGCCCATCCAGAATACGTGAGCAGTGGCTGGACTTTCACTGCGCATGTCTCAACAGATACGTAACTAGCATGCTACAAGCCATTGATGGGTTTGTCTAACAGCCTCTTTCAGTGGAAGGGTAGAAAGTACCTTTGGTACATACAGCTGTTGTGCAAGCCACACACTGGGACAGTTGAACAGTAGGCATAAGAGCATAAGAACCTGGCTGGGATACATCTCACTTACATTTAGATAACCTGTTAGTCATCAAATTCTCATAAATTATGTATTCTTACAGGTATTTAAAGTAAGTGGAGTTAAGCACCTCAGTTCCTTAAAGTCTGGATGTGGGCAGCTGCCTGCATTGTGAAACACTTCAACACCTTTTTAACTCTGGCCCTAGGTTCCTTTAATAAATATTTTAAGGTGAATGAGGCTTACCCTCCCCTATTTACATGTCATCACATGCATAACTTCAATTGTATTGTACACTCCCAGTCACCGCACCCTTCAGTTTGCCTATTGCTTTATGTACAGTTTAATTGGGGAAGAAAGTTCACAACTGGGGAAGGAGTTCACAAGTCCCCTCTCTGCCCCTAGGCAGAGAGCAGCGAGCGATGTCAAAGCCTACTGGTGATCTGCCTTGTCATTCTGCCTGGGAGGGGAGTGGCCGATTGGAGAAGAAGGTCTTTAAAAGAGACTGAGGAAGTGAACCTGTGATGCCACTGCAAAGCAGCCCTTCAGCTAAAGCCAATTACTTACCCAGCCACCTAGAGATTCCCAGGAAGAGCACCTTGAGGTGAAACAAAGGAGAGATGAGGAGGACGGCAATGAAAAGACTTTGGCTGTTTATTTTCAGTGCAAGTGAGTACTAATTTGGTTATGTCCTCAAGGGCTGGGTAGAAGGAAACAGTACTACAAAGTCCAAGTGTTCTGATGGACTTTGTGTGTTTCCTTTTTGTTTAGTAGAAGTTCTTCATGTTTATGATCAGGCAGGTGTGTTTACCATCTCTGTGGTGAATGTCCAGACTCACAGGCATCTCCTAAAGCCACAAGACAGTGTGAGGAACAGGAAAAGAATGCTATTCTTCATGAGGCTGGAAAATATTTTAAAAAATAGTTTTAATGGCTTCGGTTAAATACAGTGTTTCTCTCTGAAGAAGGAACTTCCTCAACTGGAAGTGAAAAAGTCCTTGGGTTTTATTCTTTCATACAAAAATCTGCACGTAGCGTATGTCTCTGTAAGTTTAAATCCTACTGTTTACATGTACTCCGGTACAACTTGTGATCTCTATATATTATTCACATCAAGGGGATGCACAACGATCCCTACTAACTCATACGAATCAGCCAGCTCGCCCTTGGCCTTCATCACAGATTTGCCCTTTCTCATCCTGCCTTGCAGAGCCTGCAGGCTCAGTTCCACTGCTTTTTGACCTGTCTCATCTTCTCATATCAATTCTCCTGCACCTTCTTCCAGACTTCAAATAAAGCTACGCACATGTAAATCACTTGGATTTTTCACCAAAAATCCTGAAAACCTCACTTCAACAATAAGACCCACAAGAAGGAAATTCACACAATTTAATGTAATTAGACAAAGTGGATGTTCTCCATATGCAACTAATGTGTCTTGGGTCATGATTTGATGATCATTATGTAAATTGTGCAATGCCATTGGTATTCATTCTCCTTTTTCATTACTCTCACCTTTCACGCTATCCAAATTATAGATGGGAAACTTCTCAGAGCAGAAATATGTATGTTGGGTGAACGTCTTCTTGTCTGTTTGGGCAGGATTCAAATGGTAATAATTCAGTGTTAAAATACTGGCCTGTAAAAAATAATTGGAGAAGGTATAGTAGATTCCTGCACTGCACCAGAGTGAAGAAACTGCACAGCACATGGCAGTGCAGTATTGGGATACAAGAGCTGTCCTGAATGAACTGCATCAGGATCTCGGCACAGGCCGACTTCTTCTGCTGTACAGCTTTTCACTGCAGTTGTGTGAATAACTGGTACTGTGTACTTGCTGAAGAAGCAGCCCCTAATGATCATTCTGAATCAAACAAAATATTTACTTTTAATGCAAATTTCACATTTAAGACTTTCCCCTCTCCCACTTTGGAATTAAATTTCAGCTATATGCTGAGGTAAAGTATTGAGGAATTAGAAGTCAGAGCATTGTCTTGTAAAAGTAAAGTAACACATTTCCACTTTTCTCACTAGCCAAATCTACCAAGACAAATCAGCAATAATAGTTTTGCTTGATCAGAATCTCAATTTTTTCAGCAAACAAAATATTCCTCTAATTGTTTCCAGCTCTATTAATTGCCCTTCATTTGGTTTTGATTAACGCTTACTCAGTAAGGAATGTGAAAGTAGGCACATCACTTTGATTTTCTCCTTCCTTTGTACAAGTGTTTAACAGAGCGAGATAAAACCTTTGTCAATGTCTTAAAATGTTACAGACATACTAATTAATAACACACAAAAAAGCAATTCTAAGGCTTAAACCTAGGTGATGCCATCCCTCTAGTACTATATAGGCTATTTGCCCTCTCCTTTTCTGTTCTTTCAGAGTTGGCCCTCTCGTCCCTTCGCCCGTACTTTGAATAGATTCTGTTTTCTCTCAGAAAAAAAACCCCAACCCCTGAAGAATAAACCCCAATTTTTAGACATGCTGACTGTGGCTAGCTGGCTATTGGTGACTTTGTGAGGAATTGAAATGTGGTGAGAAGGGGGAAGGAGGAAACTGGTGTGAATAAATGGTGTCCCAGAATGAAACCGTGCAGCTTCCCCGAGAGCAGGAGGGAGCCCTAGAAAGGGAGGAGTGGGAGCCAGGAAGAGATGTCGTGGGTGAAAAACAGGAGAGCATCAGAAGTTGGGCATTAGGGTAACAGCAACAGATTAATAAGCAGTCTTGCTTGTTACGGGCTGTGCCTCCTGTACACAGTGTTTGGTTCAGCTGTTCCCTGACTGCACCGAAGATATGTTTGGAAAAAACCAAGCAAAGATCTCGTTTATTGTAGGATTTGAGTTGTCCAGTTGGAAAAAGGAAAAGCACTTTTGAGGGGAAGCCTTAGGGTTGGGCAGTCTCTCCTCTGCTTCAGGGTTGAGTTAATCACCTGTCAGTGAACCCCAGCCTGGTGGAACCAGTTTCTGAGTGACAGAAGGATCAGGAAGTGAGTTTTGCTCCATCTCCTAGTACAGATGGTGGTGCTTTTCACCTAACTGCAGGAAAGCGTCTCTATCCAGTCACGACAGGCAATGAGAAAGCTTTCATAGGTGTCTCTCATACAGAGGGCATGATGAAAAACAGAGAAAGAGCCCTGGGGCTATGCAAACATGGCCTTTGCACTGGGTGCTCCAGAGCAGGGAAAGACCTGGGAGTGGCTGCAATAAAACCATGCTAGAAATACTCTGCCCTGCTGGTTTCCTTCTCCTAGCTGTCAGTAACTGTAAATGAATTTATCCCTGAGACAACAGAAACCACTACCATCATGGTACATAGGAAGAGACTAAAATGCATGCTTAGCTAATGAACTGTGCAAGACCACAGAACAACTCGGTTATGGGGGAGAGAACACAGAAAGGTGTGAACTTTGGCTAGAAGCATCCTGCCCTGGTCACTTGGCCGCCTCTCCTTACCAGGACGCTAAAAAGCGCAGATCTGCTGAAAACGTCTGAAGCTGCTTCTGAAGACAGCTGTGGAAGGGAGGGCATCCCTGCCTGGCAGCAAGGAAAGAGGGGTGAGGGGGAGGGAAAGGTTTGGCTGCTGTGAAAATTCCCGTCGAACTACTCACAGGAGAGGGAAGATGCAGCAGTTCTGTAAGCGTAGGCCATTTCTGAGAAGAGACATGAAGGACCATTTGCTATGGAGACTGGATCCAGGAAGCTGTTACAGAGGCTTTTGCCTCTCCTGAAGGGGAGCAGATCCCCGTGCCAACTGTCCCATGTTACCCTGTGCAAGTACCTGAATTGCTACCAGCAGGTTCCTAGCACAGTGACAACAAAACCTTTTGGGTCCCTACACTGTTATTTTCTAAGGGACACTATCATTCTCTGCTGTTTTAGTTAAGGATCTGGTAGCGCTCAACTCGCCATTGGCTTACCTAATACGCATGCGGCTGTGGTCTTTTCCTGACTAAAAAAGCATGTATTCACAATCCGTTTGCAACTCAAGGTGCAATCTAGCTGTCCTTTGTTCTTTCCCTCACACATTACATTTTCTTATGGATCTATTCTGAACAGAGATATGGCAGAAAGAGGACCCAAAGCTTGCTAGATGGCAACTTTTCAGTCAAATCCTCTCTGGGGAACACTGAGTCAGCCTGGTTCTTTCAGAAGCAAACCTTCACCACCACACACAGCGTGCTCCTCTCAGGGAGGGCATACATCTCTGCCCTCCTCCACTTTCCGCCTTACTGGACCATGTTCCTCTTTGCCATGGGAGTGCCTCTGAGCAGCACTCCCTTTCTTGCCTCTCTGCATTCTCTTTAACTGGTTTCAGACTTAGATTTTTTTCAAATGATTCAGTTTGGTGCCATTAAAAAAAACCAAAAACCAACAAACAACTACGCAAACTGTAAGGAGAAAGCAGGTGTTTTTAAACATGGGTTCCCACAGGCATGAAAGTCATCTATGGCAAGGCAGTGGTAAACCTCCAGCCTAATTCTGAGAATAGCTAAGACCTGCCACTAGCTAATGCTCGGGTATGATGAATTAAGCATCAAGTCAAATGCAATACAGCATACAAGAAACACCGACCCTGTGTCCTGCATACTTCACCAGGGCACAGAAGGATTTCTGTTTTATTCAACTCTCAGCCATTCCTGTGCTACATAGGCAGGAGCTGCAGTTCTTGGAGAAAGGTGACTACTACCCTACTCATTTTTTAAAAAAGAATAGCTATTCTTCTCTTGTTTCTTTCAAGCTCTTTTTGCTTTTCTAGGTTTTTCTCTTTTCAGGGCATTGCATAAACAGGTTTTGATTCCCTAGCACAAAATGTCACTTCTCTATGGACTTGGATTGAGGCAAGTTATTTGACAGTTTTCCTGATCCCTGAAATTTGACAATATCAATTTGTTAGTTTAGCCTGAATCCTTAAGACTGCTGATGCACTTGTATTATCTGTTTATCTGTCTCCCTCTATACATTTAGAACTGTCAAAGGATGTCAGTCATACTGAAAGAGGGCTCAGAAAAAAAAATACATCTTTATAAATTCCATGGCAATGTATGTCCAGGTAAAGAAGAGGGAAGCAAGGAACAGAAAGCAGAGTTTAGCTCTTAGCCATCCTGTGCAGCAGCTTCCTGTAGTCAGTCAACCACAACACACATCACCTCTTGATCAGAGGGGAATGTCATGGATGACAGAGGGGATGTGGGGTTATTGTGGCATGTAAGAAAGCCAAAGAGACAAAACACGGAATCCAGTTGTTGTTAATTTTGCTGACTGCAGAATTTATTCTCTTCCTAGTTCTGGCGACTGCTCATGCCCTCACTGTGGAAGCACCTGCCAAGGAAATACAGGTGGCACGAGGGAACAATATTACTCTCCGCTGTCATTTTAAAACTACAGCTTCTATTACCCCAGGAGACATTGTTGTCTGGACGAAAACCAATAGCACGGTAAATCAAGTTGCATAAAGAAACATATGATAGGGCATCCGAGAGGGGGGTGGGAGGAGAGGTGGAAGCAGGACTGTGGGTGGGAATGTGTGTTGGAAGAAAAAGATTCCTTCAAGGCTTTCTTTAATCTCAGAACTATTCAAACAGAAGCTCTGATTCTAGATGCAATTTATCCCAAATCTGTTGCATGATGCTAGGCAAGCCCCCATCCTTCTCTTTTGTCTCTCTTGGTCTTGCATCTGCGTACTGAGGATACATCACTGTATGTACTGTGGGTTTACATCCATTAACATATGTGAAATACTCAGATACTTTATAAAAATATATGTATATTTTAAGTATATATATTATACATATGTATTTATACATATCGTTGATACTACATAAAAACTTTTAAGTTGGTGATAATAGTACGTGGAGAGATTCTTGAGGTCTCCTACATTCACATGGAGTGTTTGAAGGTAAAGAGACCTCTAAAGTTCTTGACTTCTTGGGAATTAGTGAGAGAGGAAGCAGCCTTTGGAGATCTCCTTGCAGTACCTGCCAAGGGTTTCTTCCCTGAAGATCCTTGCTGGACGAAACCAAGGGAGTTTGTGTAATCATAGGGGAATTTGATTGACATATGGATCTCAGACAAGTCTCACGGTGTCCTGTCATGGAGAGGAAAGGTCAGTAAGCCCCAGCAAAAGAAATCAGCTGTCTCTGACTTCAGATAAGATGGGAGAAGGGGATTCCAGACAAAAACCCAGGCCCTTTTGATTTTCTGTTTTTCTTGGCTTTTTGCCAAACTGGGGCAGCTTACAGCCCTCTTTTCCAAGCTGCACTTCTTTTAAGAGTGGGCTAATCCATTGAGTTAGGTTGTAGACTCACACAGAAGAAACTAAGATTGATTGTTTTCCCTCCCTCTTTATCAGGATGATGTTGTCACTAGGTATTTTGATGGGCTTGTACAGTATGGCAAGGGCTATGAAAACCGTATACAGTTTAGTGGTGATGTAAACAAAGGGGACATCAGTATCACCATCAATTCAGTGACCATGGAAGACAACGGGACATATGCATGCAACGTTCGTCTACGGAATGACCCCCCCAGGCATTCTGCAACCTTGGCTCTTTTAGTCCTTGGTAAGCATGATGGAGACAACACCAGATCCATTAGATAAAACATTGTTCTTCCTCTACTGTCCATGTTGGTTTATACAACGAATTTTCTAACAGAGAAAAACTTTCCAGGAAGTCGTCATCCACAACTCCATCTTTGGTCTTTTCCTACTACTATGGAAGCAGGTTGGAAGGCTTAGCGCGCCCAATTCCCTTAGATACCCGACTGTAGAAAATAGTTTGTAGAGTTGTATAGTTCGCTTTCCTAATAACCCATGCGTCATTACAGGGCATTCCTCATTCCCCCCATGGCTTGTCATACTCCAGTTATCAAAGGAAGAGTTATCCAACACTATTAGACACATCCCAAAAAGCATCTTACAATTCCTTCTTGGCTGACTAGTGCCAAGAAGGGAGAAACAAATTACAGACAAGTTCACTCCAGCTGCTTTGAGAAGAAGGTGGTAGGTGCAAGACCAGCCTCTGTTTAGCAAGAATAAAAATGACAGGTGCAGGAGATGGGTTGAAACAAAAAACTACTAATAAAATTCCTTCCTTTTTTCTTCCTTCAGTTGCACCGTCCAAGCCAGAATGCAAGATTCTGGGGACAGCAGAATATGGACAGACAATCAATCTCACCTGCATGTCTCATGAGGGCTCCCCAAAGCCCAGATATACCTGGCAAAGCTTCAATGTACGAAATGAGCCCCGTGTACTACAAACAACAGAAGGTATGGGAAATTCAAAGACATCAAGCCTTTGAGCTCTCTGTAGATTAGGGTTGGAAATATTTTGAAATGCAAATACAAAAACCACACTTAAGGCTTTTTCTAGGAAGTTGTCTGGCCAGGATTTTGAAAAGTTGTTCTTTTGATACAAGACACACTCACGAGTAAGTTAGCAGGGGGAAAAGGACTGTTACCTGAAGTAACAACGGTGAGTAAGATTTTCACTTCAGCTCTCACCTTGCCAGAAAGCTGGCTCACTCCGGAAGCGGGCAGAAATAATTACTTCTCAGTTGTTGGGCATAAGGGGGGCATAATATGAGGAATAACATCGAGGTTTCTAACTGGTGTGTCTTTATATCCCGACTCGCTTGACAATGACCAGGTCACTTTCTGTGGTGAAGGCAAACAAAAGTTGGCTCTGGAAGCTACTTTCCTTCCAGAGATGACTCCTCACCTAGAGGAAGGTGGTATCGGAAAGAGTTACACCGTTCCTGCTTTGAGCATAAAAGAGGCTTCTAGTTCTTTGGGACTGTCACACAGGCTCCGATATTTTATTTGCTTTCATTTTAAGTCAGAATCGGGTTTTTTTTTAAGGAACTGAAGGTCCATGACAGGACCTTTCGTAGAACTATTCACACAGAAATGAGGGTTTAATAGTCTTTGAAGTGTAGTAGTGACAGAGGACTCAGATTAATTCCTTTAAACAACTTCGTGTCTTCCCGGTATGTGCAGCTCCGGAAAGACTGAGTATCTGCACCTACCCTTTTTGGTTACTGTAGCATCGCTAAGGAGGTAAATTAAACACGATCAGGCTCGGTAGGAT